GAGTCTTCATCATGCAGTTACAATGTTCCTAAAAACTAATCAGATTATATAAAGATTCAGGATTAATGACACGGTTAGTAGGATCTTTATTGCTGTTATCTACAGGAGCGAACAACTAGCAACTAGATGGATAGAAACGGATCATTTTTCTTCTATTTTACACGACCCGTCATCAACTCTACTTGCTGATTGCAGCACTTCTTGCATCCGAGTAGTCTTCTTCGCATTCATCGTCCAAAAACATCTTCGAACATTCCGCATGCTATTCCGACTGCTACTTGAGAATTTTGTCCTCTTTATGAATCTCTTAGAATGCTGCCGGTCGAGTCGATTCTCCCTGCAAATCTTGGAGATAGCCGAGCTAAGGCGTCCCCACGTGGATTGGTGAAGGGCGGTGGAGCGATTTGTGTCCTGATCGACGATATCACTAACTAACGCGCTATCTGCACTCCTAAACCGACCATTTATGCTAGGAAGTACACGCTTGAAGACACCTGTCGTCACTGAAAATTGACTACACGAAAGCTGAGTGCATTTCAGCCAGTTTTTGAAACGAAAAACGATTTCAGTCCAGGAATTGATTATCGTAGCAGGATTGCAGACAACGCGTAGCTTTGCTCCCCAAAATTATGGATTCAGATGATGTCCCTGAGTTTAGTGAAGTTTACAATCATCCAGACATTAGGAAGGCTAGAAATAGTGTTTTTGACTTGACTTTTGTAATGTTCATGTTTCCAAACGTGTGGTTTCGTTTTTTTTTTTTAACGTGCATTGTAGGTACAGATTGTCCCTTTGGTTCTTTGAAATCCAGGCAGCTTTCATTGGTCCTGAGATTTTAGCAGCCTCTCCGTACTCGTCCTACAGAACGCTGCGAAATTGGGGGCTCTTTCGGGATCAGGGGAATGAGGCCCGTTTTTTTTTTACTGTATTTAGCATTTTTGATACCCACGTATAGCTTGCTGGCTCTGAACGTGGGGGCTGGGTATACTCACGGGTAGCTTGCCAGGCTCTCCCAGAGTGGACATGGAGCTTATTTGTTGGAGGTGACTCCTAACCGCCTCCGATATACTTCCTAGTCACTTGGTTGCAGGCGTTTGGCCAAATTGACTCGTAGAATACAATCCGCATAAGCAAGAACGCACCCACACACGCATGCATGAATACGCCTAGCAAATGCAGAAAGTATGTGCCAAATCAGCGCAGCAGAAACGGGGAGTCCATCCCCTGTATCCACCTGCGTCTCAGGGAAGCAAAGGTCGCTTTTGGTCCCCCGATTAACCCTCTATCCGCCACCTGGGGACGCGCCACGTAGCCTCGCGACCAACCGGCTCGAGATCCTTCATATGGGGGAGATCCGTGGAATCGTATCGTTAGTTACCCACTGAGCTGATCCACTCAAGACATGTGTCACCTAAACGTTCAAGTTCCATTATGATTGTCCTGGTGAATTGTTCGTAACTATCTCAATGTCTGACCTTTTATTTGATGCCTATTATTTTCACACGGTAAGTTATAATGTGAAATATAACCACTATGAGGCTGAGAAATTTTCAAAACTTGAGGGCGCTCACGTGTTGCCCATTGCACCATTGGAGACCTTGCTTGGCTTTCTCTTGGTCAGTTTGAAGTTATCTGTTCATCCCTGCTGTAAATACAATTTCAGTTAATACCGTTCTTTAATATAACTTTAATGATGCTGAGGTATTTGCAAAACTCTGGACCGCAGGTGTCTGCGGTGGAGAACGAACGCGCTATTGTCCTTTCTGGGGAGTAACGCGTTCACCACCACACCATGCGGGTCCTTCGTTTCGCCTCTCTCTCTCAACTAGTTCTACCGATCTTTTGCCACCAGCAATCACCCGTCAGCGGGATTGATCTGGGGAGCCCAAACGGCAACGAACCCAGTTAAGCTGAGCATCATTAAAGTTATATTTCGCAATATACATCCTGCCGTTAAAAAGAGTTGGCAATAAATAATAAGCTAAAATCGTTCTTTAATAGTTTCTTTAATAGTTTATCCACCGCAGTAGCCTTGGCGAGTGTCGAACCTGGGAGGGTGTTCTCTGTATAATTTCTCATGTGATTTCTCATTTCCTCTCATTTTTGACAAGAAACTCATTGTTTTAGAATTCTCATGTACTACTTTATGACTTTTCGCCATTGTATGGAATAAGATGGTATCAAAACCAAAAGGCAAACATCTTAAAACTCCTTCCAGATCTTATACAACTTCATTAACCACTGATAGCAATATGAGTAGATGGTGGGAGCGTCTTTTTTTAGAAACCATGTGCAAGAGTTGTATATACATCAAGTACATGGGAGCGTGTATAGACGAGCATAGACCATAAATAGGACAAGGAAAGAGTATAGATTTTTTCAAAACGTAGAGGAAAACTGAATTATATAACGAAAATTGGGCCCAGTTTCCGTATTGCGGGACACTGTAGCCGGTGCGACCTCCATATGGGTCATAGGGAATCGGCCAAGAAACTAGGCGTCGTCGCGCATCTGTTACAATTGTGTTTCATCAACAAGAAGACGCCACATTCATGGCTTGTACATTTTTTTCAGGACCTATGAGTATAACTGCCTGCTTTAATCGTATACAATTATCGTAACAGAAATTAAAGGTGGGATTTTTCTGATTGTATGTGGCGTTGTGGACAGTATTTAGTCCAGATATGATGTCCTTTAATAATGTAGAGAATGAATGACCATTACTTCTCATCTCATCGATGAACCCTTGAATTGGGTGGGGTACGACACAAGAATTTTATGATGCTCTTGCTAATATCTGTACATGCTGTTTATACGTACGTTATTTAACAGAATGTGTTTGTATTTCTGCAAGCGATGTTGAACGGCTTAACCCAATAAGTCTCAAGTGTATTGATTGCTATGTTAGTTAGTTACATAACTATATATTGTGGGAGTAAATATATAAAGTATCACAATTGTTTCCGAGCATCGAAAAAAATTGCAAAGTCGGTGAAACTTTCTAAATGGCTGCTGCACGAATTGGATGGAAATCCAAGAAATTGTTCTTTTAAGGCATCGTCGACGCTCCTTTTACGCAACGACAACGACCAGTTTCTGGATCGTATGGTGTTGTGGAATTTGAAACGGATTTTGTGTGATAACAGGCGACGATCGGCTTAGGGATTAGACCACAGTGAAACCCCATACTATTTCCCAAAGCTGGAGGAATCGCATGGAAAGAAGGTCATGCAGACCATTTGGAGATGTGTGGTCGGTTTCATCCATCACAGTTTTCTGGAACCGGCGGAGAAGTACGTCCAGGAAGTCAACGATATTCACCAGAAAAAGCAAAGCTAGGTTCTTCATTGGTCAGCAGACTACGAAAATGTGCCCCGTCCACCATATCCATCAGAACTCTCGTCTACCGACTAGCACTTCTTCAAGAATCTCGATAACTTGCTATGCGAGGAATGCTTCAGAAACTAAGCTGAGGCAAGAAATTGCTTCGCCGATTTAAGCAATTCCATAGTTCGAAACTTCTATGCATCTTGCTCAAATAAACGTTTTCCTTGTTGGTAAGTACATATGGGTCTTATGGTTTCAAAGTTTGTTCGGAACAGAGCTATGCCATCTTAAAAGTACAGGTTGAAATCCGACATTAATTTCCTAACAACCTGATATGTAAGAATGTTATTAAATGCTACCGATGAATGCTCTACAATTCATTTTACTAATTCCTACGATCGATTTTAACCTCGATGTTGATAAAATAATTCTTTATATTCTTGAGAGCAAATACGAAGTGTTATTTCACTCTTTAATACGGAAAAGCTGACGTTCCGGTAGATTTCGCCTTCCTCAAAGCCTGACAGTCAGCTTGCCCGCAATTTAATCTGCTCAGCCACTCTTTGGTTATGGAGGTGGCTGGGTAGAGTGCGGTCAACGTGAACTTTCCATGCTCCGAGGAAGGCGAAATCTCCCGAAACGTTAGCTTCTTCGCAGTATACTTCGCAGTATAGTATACTAGCTACTGAATATGTCACGTGGAGACCAACCGCATAGAGTTCACATGGAAGCGTTTCGTCAACAAGAATATAAAGAATTATTTGATCAATACCGAGGTTAATATAAAGTCGGTCGTAGGACTAATCACTATGTATCATTTGTTTGGTGAACTTACACGAGGTTGATAAGTAATTTCTATTCAGCTAACGTTTCGACGTCTTCGTCTTCATTAGAGCCAATGATCCAAATCGGTGGTAGTTTCGTCACTTCTGTTAGTTTTGCTTAAATATAACTAAGACCGGTTTGCCGTAAGCTGTAGCCGTCCATTTTCCATGTTTCTAGAAAGTAAACTGCATTTGCTTTTGATCCACACTTACTACACTGTGCGTAGTGAAGGAGTCTAATTCAATATTACTTGAATTTTCCACTCTACTGAAGTGAATTTCGCCTTAGTTGTTGAAATTACCACCTTTTTAATTCAACAAAGCGGTGTATTCCATGTGAATCAAGTCATCCTGCGAACTTATATCTAACACACTTGCGATGATGCCTAATTTTGTGCGGCAGGCGTGAATCATGTGCGACTCGTGCCGTCCGTTCTGCCCGTAAACTATAGGAAATAGTTCTTCTCAGCTGATACTCGGCTTGGCACAGTATGATATTGAATACAAGAAATGTACCAAAAGGGGAACAGCTTACTTAAGAAAAATAAGCAAGCGGGAAAGAATGTGAATCATGTGTGATTCATATGGCCCACTTTACTCGTCACATATGAGTAGTGCTTGTTAAGTATCGTAGCTAATGTGTTAAGTTGATTTTTCCACTTTACGGTGGCATTGTATTTCATGCTAATAATGTCTAGAGAACGTGAAAGTCATCAACTTGTATGTATTTTCTTTCCTCCGATTATTTTCCTCTATTATTACCCTTCATTTGAACTCAAATATTGTCCGTGCACATCTCTGTACTTGTTATCGTTTCATACTAAATTGATCATTGCAGAATCGCCGATGATGAGACGACATTCACTTCTTCTTGGGCTGTTTATAATCGTGGATGTGCTCATCTCGGTACTCTCTATGGGATTTTATTCCGATTCATGGAGCTTCGACTTCGACATCGTGTTCAAATACCTTGTATTCGTTGACGGTTATGACTATTTCACTAACCCGATGGATTTTGTTTTCTTGTCAATTCTCCGTCTAACGTTAATCGTCATAGCTGTGATTTTTATCACCTTCCACTATGATTCCTATCCTAAGGGGATGTTCATGCCAATGCTAGGTGTAGCGACGTCTTGCTATTCATATACACTAGTGAAGCTGCTTGCCTTTTCCGAAAATAGCCGGATGCTGCGATATCCAGGAGTTTGGCTCTCAGTTGTATGGTCAATGTTAGCAGCATTATTCTTCTCTCTGATTTGGTATTTTGTTATAACTGCACACGATTTCGACTATCAGCTCCTGGTTTCTGATCGATTCAATTCAGTACTAATAGAAGAGCAGCAAGCAACAACCACGACTGGTTCTATCGAGACTGCTGTCCAAAGGAGCCCAGAAGGTGACTAGCTTATCTTTGCTTTTTTCTTATCTTTTCTTTGCGCGGTGAACCTTACAAGTTGTTTTTAACTAGTTAAAATCACAATTTTAGATCCAATTTAACTGCGATTTATTTGGGTATTTGCCAGCAAAACAGCTAAGGCGGGAAATTTTGTACTGATAAAGAACAATACACACAAAACACTTTTCGCAAAGAGTGTTGTCAGTGGAAATGCCCTGAAATAAGGGTCGGTTAAATGTAGATGGTTTAATTCTATAGGCGTTAATGTTATGTTAGTTCTGTTCGGACGACAATAGTTTACTTATAGAGTTCAGTAAGTTTTAAGTTCTGAAATGCAAAGCAATTTTTGGTCTTCAGGTGGAAGCCGTCATAACTATTCTGCATTTGTAATGAGTATGTTCAGAGTAGTTCACGTGTTGTCCTTCATTAAGAGAGTGTTTTACGAAGTCTTCCCTGTTTAATTACATTTAAAGTGAAGCATTTTTTGTATTTCCGATGGAAGAGAAAGCCTTATGCCGAAACGCGTTAGCACAATCCAGCACGTTTCTGCGCTTCTCAGGTACTGCCAACATCAGTGGATCTGGTTTACTTTCGGTTTTACCTTCCTTGTTATCTATGCTGTGGGTGAGTCATTGAATTAAAAATAATCTCTGTTGATCACAATCTAGTGCTTTTTATTTAATGCCTTTTCTTTTTTCATTGTAGGGTGTGATGTGAAATAATGTAGCCACAATGATGCTGAGATATTTACGAAACTCCGAAACGCAGGTATCTTCATTGGGATTGAGCCCGCTATTACTCTTTCCCCAGGGCTAACGAGTTCGCCACCACACCATGCGGGTCCTTCGTTCGCCTTTCTTTCCTGTGTTCTAACCTACAGGTTAAACACGTTAGCACCCAGAGAGGGTAATACCTAGTTCGATCCTTACCACCGACATCTGCGGTCCGGAGTTTTGCAAATATCTCAGAATCATTGTGATTATAATCTATGTTGTAAAAGTTGTTCTTTCCAATCATTGTGTGGTTTTAGCCCGTGTATTCATACCTGCATATACTGGTGAAGTGATTGGAAATATAGTGAAGAAGGCTGGAATAGGGTTGTTAGTACGTTCAATAACAATCATGGGTATGCTCACAATGGTAAGGTGAGGATGAAATCTGTTCACCAGCTCACTTTACACTTTACTTCTGACACATGTCCTTATACATAGATCTCTTCCTTTTTCCTTTTCTCAAGCTTCCTTAAATTTTGTGTGTTGCAGTACCATCTTTGGTGGGTTGCGTGGAGGATGTTTTGACTACGCAACAGCACTGGTCAACCGACAGATTCGTCTTGATTTATTCCGGTCATTAGTCAAGCAGGATGTTGCATTCTTTGACATCACCAAGTCAGGTACTATATGCCTATTTGATACCTGGATGGCCCATATTGGCTGGTTGTGCGACCACTAGCATAATTCCCAATTTTTCGGAGGTTTGCTGGTTTAACTATCATGGTTCTCTGGTGTCCTGAGGTCAGCCCGGCCAAAGTTGCTCCAGGTCGTCGCGACCACAGGCAGTCTGCGCCCTTATGGATCAGAAGGAGATTTGCCGCTATGCGGCTAGTTTTATGCCAGAACGATAGCGGATACTGGTATTCGTTTACTTTTAGCTGTGCTTCATGGTGGAAGCCGCGGAGTCCTTCTTAGCCTGGGGGACGCTGCGGAGGAATACCTCGTAGCCCGACACCCGCGTACATCTCCCAGCCACAATGAGACGGTGAAGCGTTGGGAGGGGTACTACATAACTAAATAATAAAACACCAATTAATGAAGTTGGTGTGTTGGACGTGTTGTTTTGAATTCCTTCTATAAAAAATACAGCGACTATTTTCACTATCCTTGATTTTTGGTTTCATTTGTTATGCAGTGAATGATCTAACACCCTTTGTTCAATTCCTAGCTTTATAAACACGGCTTTATTCTGAATAGTTCTTTTCTACCTTTGTTTGTAGTCTATTTTTCCAAATGAGTGTCCCTCATTTTAGGTGAGATGGTCTCTCGTCTGACATCTGATTGTCAGACAATGTCAACAACAGTATCTACGAATGTTAACATTTTTCTTCGTAATGGAGTAATGCTTATCGGTGCTCTGGTGTTTATGTTTATAAATTCATGGCGTTTATCATTGGTTAGCAATTGTTTGATTTTTACGTTTCAACCAGTCTCTCTGTTGCCCTATCCGCTTGGGTTTCAGTATTCATAGGTTTCAAAGACAGAGTTTGTCTTGTAGGTCACTTTCATAGCGATTCCACTTCTTGGTTTTATAACGAAATGGTATGGAGCGTACTATGATGTAAGTGTTTAGTATATTTAGTACATATATATATATATATATGTATATATATGTATATGCGTATTATATATAGTGCATATATAGTATATATAGTATAGTATAGTATATATAGTGTACGAGTGTTCCTTTTTGTGCCTTAAAATTTAAGTGAAATTTCTATTGAGCTGAAAATCGCTGACCCAGCTTTTGTCTACAGAGATTGTCGGAGGAAACGCAAACAACAATTGCCCATTCAAATCAAATTGCGGAAGAGGTTTTGTCAACGATGCGAACAGTGAGGTTGAGAACTTTGGTTACTTTTGGCAATGAAGGATATAAATTATAGATGTATTATATAAGATATGTAAAGGCAGGTGTAGCGCAATGGTTCGATATGCGTTGCAATACACGCAGTGGGGTGTTTGGTTCGATCCTTCGCCCTGGACTCGCGAAACCTTCCATCCTTTCGCCGTGGCAAATTGGTAACGGACACGTTTTAGAGTATAGAAACACTGACTTGGTATATCGGCTTGTTATCGAACTGTATGGACAAATTTGCAATCAGTCACCTCTACGATGATTGGAAGAGTCGAATCCGTGGCCCATGTTTCAAGAGTTGATCAATGCCGAATGCTTTATCTTCTACACTTTTTTATAAGGTCTGTGCATAAGTTCATGTGGTCGAGTTTGCAAATCAGAAGTTTCCAAATAATTTCATGCCCCACCTTTTGTTGTGTATTCATGGTGCAGTCGAACCTTTGCATTATAGGGAGAAGAGGAATTTCTTTCTCCTATTCGTTGTTTTGTCCTCGTAGTAATAGAAGGGAAAGTGTGTACACCATGTATATTAAGGGAGGTATGCCAGTTATATGCGTATAGGTGGTACAGATGTTTGGAAAAGTGTGGTTTGAAAAAATGCTACAAGTCAACCAATAATGTGGACTTATAGCTTATATTTATGGGGCGTGTGTGGCACAGTGGTCGGAGGCGCTCTACAACACACATGTGGAATCGATTCCTACGCCGATGGTTTACCAAGCCTTCCATCTCTCCGGGGTGGGCAAATTGGTACCAGACTTATCTGGGAGGATAGCAGCACTGGCTCGATAAATCGGTAGGCCACCGCGAGTAATTGCAAAAGCTATATGTGCATTCAATCACCTCTAAACGATACTTAATGAAGTCGAATACATGGCGCATCCCTCAGCGATTGGTTAACGTCGAGAACTTTAGCATTTATCCTTTTTATGGCTTATATTCGGAAAAATCATCTGGGACGATCCAAAAATTCGATGAAACGATTGAGGTAAAGCAGTTTACTCTTAGACCGAGACTTAGAGTAGTGAGTAAGATTCAAGAGCCCATCCGATTGAATTGGTGCCTTATCAACTCTGAAAATCGGACCGACATTGTTACTATTATAAAGGAAATCCTCTCCTAGTGGCATTGTGATTTCTGATAGAAGGGTGTTCATTGTACGAAGATAAAGCCAATTAAAAAATGGGGCAAAAAAGATTCTTTGTGCCTACAGTGACAATAAATCTCTGCTGATGCTAGGCTACAGAGCATCATCTCATTTTCTGTGTTCGCCCCACATTCTTCCCAAAAAGGTTTATTCGGTTTTATCCAACATGATTTGTTAGCTGGTGGCATGGATTTGGAAGACATTTTTTTTGCATGACTCAACATAATATGTCATCTTTTGCGGATCGTAGAACTTTTTGCATTGATTCGTTCCCTCGCATACACCATTCCCGAAGATTTTCGAGCTTTTTTTCGTGTTGCTTTAACTGCTGCTTGTGGATTTTCGTCTTCAGCATAAACGTTGTTGGGTACTGCTCGAGTCTACTCTTCTTAAAATTCTTAGAGTAGCCATCCTATGGCATTTTACCTAAACTAGAGGGAATGAGCTAATACCAGATCAGCCTATTACCAATTTCCTGACCATAGAAGGACGAGGACTTAACGAACGTGATGCGGTATCGAACCTGCGCGTGGGTAGCGTGAACCATCCATAATGAACGACAGCACTACCATTGCGTTACTTCTTTCCTGTAGAAAACATTTGTTGTGAGAAAATATTCTTGTCACCTATTTCGAGGTGGGTGAAATTTGCTAGAAAGACTACAAATGTGTGTTTTTATCTGCTAGACAATTACATTATTGCTTGTGGTGAGTGGAAAGTCTTTTACGAAATTAAGACGAAATTACTTCTGCAACAAGAGTTATGTCACCTAGTGTGGGTGAAGAACTAATTGAAGGAACTCCAATCCATGCTGCTTGATTGTGTAAAGAACTAACCCACAAGATGAAAATGAAGTAACAGTGATTCACATTTGAGTTAGCTGGCAACACTGGGCAACGGTTGATACCTGTGAGCTATCGCCTTCTAGAAATATGTATGAGCAGCATCGTTAGAGTGACAGATATTGACACCAACGACTCAATGGTCAGCCAATAGTCCAGCAGTATCGCCTCAGGAGACGCAAGCCTAGACTACAATCCTGGTTGACTTCTGTCTGGGAACGAGGTGGAGTCACATTGCAATGCAAAAGAAAATTTGGTTAAGGCTATGTAGCGACCTTCGGTTGCGGTGTATCTCAACCGTCTGAGACGGCTTTGTCTACCGGGAAGTTTTTACTGGATCGATTTTTTATTAGCTCACTGGAGCGGATAAATTACGCCGATTGTTATCTGTCAGCACCAACTTCACCCACGACGGAGTTTCTGGATGCTGGTGATGGATCGTGGTGATAGATACTAAGATGTGGATATTCTAAAAGAATATCGCGCGTCGCTTTTTGTTTTAGCATAGAGCCAGAGCCATAATGACCATTGACGTTGCAGAGACAAAACGTACGCTTGCTCTAGATTTGATGACATCCGGCAGAGTCGCTCTATATTCCTAGGTTGAGTTGTTTTTGAACAGCGATATATATAAATTCCTCACATGTACCAAGCAACTGTAGATGTTTTCCAAGTAGAAAGGCACTCATAACGCACATTCTTCATCACGCGCATATACTACACATCGAGTGAGAACCAAGGGAAAATGCGCGAAGTTGGTTTTAAAATTATTCCCGATCTTTATTTCCCGATTCACACGGCATCTAACTCTCACGTCTTCCGGATTCTGGAACGCGTCAACACCGGCGAACAGGAACCTACGATCGTCGATTTCTTTGCCTTGCATGAACTCTAAAAGAAGGTGTATAACTCTATTATAGTTTTGAATGTGGGAAAGGTCCTCTAAGTAAAGATATGTCATAGGTTGCTTATGGTAAGGAATAGATTTTTTCTAATAAAATAGGTGTTTTGACATAACATTTTCCGCCCAGCATAGCATTATTTAGTAGTAGGCTTTATGTACTTTTATTAGAAGCACTGCAGATCGTTTGCTTGCGAACAACGAGAAGCTAGCCGATATCAGGAAGAGTTGGAGAGCACTCTAAAAAAGAATAAGAAGAAGTGGGTTTTTTTCCAAATTATATGTCGAAATGGTTTGTGCATTGATTTTCATCCCTATGTGGTAGTTGTACTACTTTAGTATTTGTAAAAAAAAATACATTTATACTCGGGAAGAGCCTAAGGGAGTCGAAGTGTGGTACAAATAGCTATAGAAAAAACTGCTCTGCCTTATGAAAAATCGTGCCCTTTATATATATATATATCTTTTTAAAATAAGCTAATTTAAAAGAATCACGGTATACGTTGAGTGCAGACGTTCCTGATTGTCAGTAATTTACGACATCGATTGTCCAAAGCATTTAAAGCAACCTGGTGCTTTACTGTATTATAAAGGGGAACTTTCAAAGCTAAAATTCGATGTTGCTCGTTACATATTAGCCTGTTTCCGTATGCCAACTCTAAGCAATTTTATAGAGCCATAGCGTATATGGGTTACACTTGGAACAACGAATTTTGCGAAAACGCGATTCTCGTTGCTGTATTGTTCTACGGAGGACACTTGGTTATGTCAGGTACGTCTTAAGAATATAAATCAACTATGATTATAGGTGGCCAACTATGATTATAGGTGGCATATGAGTGCTAAAAACACGTCGAGCTATCATTCTAGGGGTCTCTCTCGAGTTGATTTTGATTCTTTCGGGATCCAATCTAATTTTTTTTCTTATTATATGACCGGTCATTTAATTTTTTGGAGCATTATTTCACCGTGTCAAAGAGACCATATTTTTCGAATTTCTACGTTTCGAGAACTTATTTGCTATTAAGTGCCTGACTTAGCTTCATAAGGAGTGATCTTGGGTAGCCGTGATAAAAGGATAAAAGATAAAGCTGTCGGCGTCGATCAATCCTTGAAGGACACTCCATGCATTCGACTTCATCAAACATCGTAGAGGTGATTCAATATATATCTGGCCTATACAACGATTCGCGGTAGCCTAGCGATGTATCGAGTCAGTGCTGCTATTCTCCCAGACCGGTCTGGTACCAAATTGCCCAACCCGGAAGAACGGAAGGCTTGGTGAGACTGGGGAGCGGATCGTATCCATGTGTATTATAGGGCACCTCTATCCACTCCCTACACGCGCTTCTAAGTCATGGTAAAAGCTGAAAGCTGTCGGCGTTGATCTATCTCTGAGGGATGTGCCATGCATTCGATTTCATTGAGTACCGTTGGAGGCGATTGAATGCATATTTGGCCTTTATGACGAATCACGGTGGCCTACCGATGTATCGAGCCAGTACTGCTATCCTCCCAGACAAGTCTGGTACCAATTTGCTGGCTCCGAAGGGATAAAAGACCTGGTGGGCCATGTGCCGGGGGATCGATTCCACGTGTGCGTCGCAGCGGCGCCTCCAACCATTGCGCCACACGCGCCCGTTGTCAGGCCTCTAAGTCAGGGTAGTGGAGAATAATCATTATGTTTGTAGAGTGCCGAACAAAATAATATAAAAGCAATAAAACGTTTTGGTGGAGATTTTAAGCAAGTGTGCAGCCGTTTTGACAAACAGTATGGATGTAAAAATTGGGTTTCTACGTGGCAGTAAAAGTGCTTGCAATCATGAATTGCCTAATAGATTTGTTATGTAGTGTTTTTTCAGATATGATGACAGTCGATGAACTGATCACTTTCCTTCTCTATCAGATGCAGCTGGGAGAGAATCTATATGTAGGTTGACTTAAATTTTCTCCTACCAATTCCTTCTATTTCCAATATTTGTTTTCCTAATTTGTGAACCGTTGTTGTTTCATCATATGTATATACATGTATATATGTACATATAATGTCTAACTTCTTATTTACTGCGCATATTTTTTCACTACAGGGTATAATGTGAGATACATCCATTATGATGCTGAGATATTTGCGAAGTTTAGATCCCAGGCCAGATTCGAACCCGCAATTACCGTTTCCGTGGGGTCACGTGTTACCTACTGAAAAACTGAGGTCCTTTCTTTGCCTTTCCTGAGCTAGTTTTAATCCTAACGGTGCCAGCGGCAATCATTCGTTAACGGTAATGATCTGCGATGCATAAATCGGCAATGAACCTACTTAAGCTGAGGTTGTAGTTGAAACCAAAATGTCTAGTCTTTTATCCTACTTGAGAGGTGAACCACCGGGAAAGGTCATCGCGAGTTCGAGTCTGACCAGGTTTTCCAAATATCTTAGCATCATTGTGGTTTGTATACAGATATATCTCACAGAGGTGGGCCTGACACACAAGTTGCGACACGCATTGACTTCAATACAGTGGGTTCCCTGAAGTATTCGCGTCTCTCATCTTTAAATAAATATATCGCTGGTAATTGTAAATTTTTTTAGTTGAAATAAGGACAAATAAAATCTATACATCCTTCCCAACAGGACAATTTTCGATATCCTACCGTGGTGCAAATTCAATTTTAAGTATCCTGTAAAATATTCTTTTTCTTTCTTGTAGAATAGCACATGATACTATTTACTTACTTGGATACGTAAACGGCCCGTCTTTATGAGTTGTGCAGACCTCAGCACATTTTCTATTCGTCTTTGCCTCGTAGTTGTCGTGCTTTTGGCGTTCGCAACTTAATATGAAAGCCAAGTTGTTGGGAATAATAGTCTTTACAGCTGCCACGCTGCTCTCTGTGTGTAAATCACTGAGTCGAACGCCCTGAAATGCTGAACATAACTTTTATGATTTTAGTAACAACTATATAATGCTGAGATATTTGCAAAACTCCGGACCGCAGGTGTATGCGGTGGGGAACGAACGCGCGCTATTGTCCTTATCGGGGAGTAGCGCACTTCACCACCACACCATCCGGGTCCTGAACTAGCTGAGAGACAGGCAAAACGAAGGACCCGGATGGTGTGGTGGTGAAGTGCGCTACTCCCCGGTAAGGACAATAGCGCGCGTTCGTTCCCCACCGCATACACCTGCGGTCCGGAGTTTTGCAAATATCTCAGCATTATATACGAGTTATATTTCGCAACATATCCTGCCATTAAAAAGAAAAAGGCAGTAAATAAAAGGGTTAAAATTTAGTAACAATAATAAAAGTGCAATCACAGCGGTGTGAAGTATACGAGGCGGATTGGACGGGCACTTGTTGGACGAATTTAACGTATTTAATGAACTGAACGAACTGACGAACTGAGAAAGCTGATAGGCTGCTTATATTCGTTCAATGATGGGCGTAGTGAGGCTAGGATGAATGTAGACATAGTTTGCTGACAAGAGATATTGGAAAGTTTCTCAGACAATCAGAAAGTGCAATCTGATAAAGCGAGATGCATACATAATACTGTAGCCGCGAGCGTTAACATGAGAAAACAGCGTAGCAAATGTTTTACATATGGCTTATCAGATCGTCATGGGAAAGTTTACACAGGACATTGCCCTTAGGAGATAAATAAGCGATCTGATACAGTATGAATAGGTAGATAACATCCCATATTTATGAAGAGTGTTCTCTATAGATGGTTTGATTAGAGCATAGTGGCGGGTGCTAGTGTCTTACCGTGACCTGTGAAACAGCTGCGGTTGCGAGTATAGCTGATTGGTTTTAGCTACGAAGACGTCCCCACAGCGTGAAGGTGGCCGTCCTAGGAGATGCTTGTATTCTCTTGTAGTCCACTCTACAGTTTTTTTGGTTCATCTTTCGTTTGTTCTTCTCATTATGTGACCGGCTCATCTGTGTTTCGCTATCGCTGTATGTTCTCCTGAGCTTCGAAGATGAGATAGATTTCGAAGATCAGAGCTTTGCATTCTGGCTGGACATTGAGTTTGCCGGTTATATTTCAAAGGAGGCCATTCAAGCGCTCGGCAGGTAGTGCCCAGTATTCTTGACATGGTTAAAGTCTCGAGCCACGTGTCCGCTGCGTGACAAAGCGCTGGTAAAACTATTGGATCTAAAAGATGAAAGCGGATTTTTGTATCCTTTAGTCGGTCGGTGGCTTATGTGAGAGGCCCGATGCGGCCCAAGCTGCTGTCCTATCCAGTTCCTCCTTCATGTTGTTCTCCATGCTCACTAAACGTCCACGGTGCCCTTTCCAGGTGGTCTCTGTAATCTGAAAACTATCCAATTCGATCTGCTCACCTTCGCACAATGAGTTTTCATGAACTGCGTCATGTTCCATTTATGCGTTGTCCGACCTTTTTGCCGGTTTCGTTGAGCTCACTGATTGTCTTCTCTGTTGGAGAAAATGTTTCTGGAGAACGTGACGATGTCGTCGGCGAAGAGGAGATTTTACAAGAATGCTCCATTAATACTTATGCCTTTTACATCCCAATCGAGTGACTTCATTATGCACTGCAGTGCGGCACTGAACAGTTTTGGCGATATTGTGTCGTCCTGTCGAACCCCTTTTTCCTATGGGTATGGAAAGCGATCGATGAAAAAGCTGTATTTTCGTAGTGCAGCTCCGATAACAGTCAAACACAGTTCTTATGTAGGACGCGTCTATTCCTTGATCGACGGTCGATGGGTAGCATTTGTTTCGACACTGTCAAACACTTGTCAAAGACCAGGGGCTGGTGGTATTCCCAACAAACTCCGGTTACTCTGGACACGGTTTGGAAGTGGTCTATGCAGCGAAATCTCTGGAAATCTTGCTTGCTAAACTGGTAGTGCCTCATCAAGTGCCCTTGATATGCACTCAAGGACAGTTTTCGTAGAAAGCTTGTAGAGTACACCCAGAAAGCATATCGGACAATAGCTACGAAGATCCTTTCGTTTACCTTTCTTGGGCAAGGAGACTGTACGCGGTGTACTCCACCGGTCTGGGGCTTTTTCCTGTTGAATGATAGGTATCGTATGGGTTCCGAGAAGTATGTGAAGATTGTAGCTTTCAGCTCTAAGATAGTCAGCAGTGATATTATTAAGTCGAACTTCAGATGGAAGAATTCCAGGTGGTTTTTTGCTCCAGTGAGGATTTTAAGGTCTGGAACAGGGATTATGGAACAAGGGAAGTTGGTGTAGAATATACTTCATACTTAAACGGCCCGTACCCACTGGTTGTGCGGGCCCCAGCATAATCACCATTCTTCGGAAACCTGCTGGTTAAGCCATTGTGGCTCCCTGGAATCCCGAGGTCAGCCTGGTCAAAGTCTGCTCCAGGTCTTCACCACCACGGGTAGTCGCAACCCTTGTGGATCAGAGCGAGATTTGCCACCATGCTAGTTCGATACCAGGACGGTGGCGGATCCTGGTATTGGTTTATTCTTAGCTAGGCTTCCTAACGGAAACGCCGGACTCCTTCTCAGCTTGGGAGGCCCTGGCGGGTGGGACGCATCACCCCGCTGTACATCGTAGTCCGACACCCAGGAACACCTCCTAGTCACGATGAGGCGGTAAGCCGTTGGGAGAATATATTGTCGGTGTAGAATGTTTCTGTTATCAATTCTGTATCATGCAGGTACTTCTAGTGATCCCATCTTCGTTCATTAAGGCTGACAGCAGAACATTGTACTCGCACAATTCAGGATGACATTTTTTCAGACTGGTTCTTTTTCTGTCGTGCTTCTAGCAGTTTCTTTTGCCTGTATCGATGCAGATCTTTCTGAAAAGTTCTTCAGCAAGTGGGATTTGTCACTGGCCGTGTTAAGTGTGTTGAAAGAGGATCAAGCTTTAGTTTCTTTCTCTTCTCGAGCAACTCCTTAATGGTAATGGAGAAGCAATCTGATCTTTTTGCTCGAGGAACTAAGGCGAATTCTACGCAACCTTTAGGGCTTTAGACAAGCAGCTGATAGTCTTCGAGCGGATCTTCTCTAATCGTGTTTGGTTAGGATTTTGTTCAAAATTTTCTAGTCATATAAAGCTTGACTTTTTCGTCGTGATCGATGACATGAATTCTTTTCCGGCTTACGGTTGAATCGAATTTTCCCGGGAAGAAGGCGGTGCTGGTATTTAGCACAGAATGTTACCGAAGTGTCAAGTAGGCACCATCTTTTGTTTATTAGAATGTGATCGATCTATGCATGTCGTGTCGTTAGGATGCTCTCATGTCCAGCGGCGTCTTTTTTATGGAACTCGGATTTCCTTGGAAGAGGAGTACTGCAGACATGAATCCTCCCAGAAGTTTCCATTTTCATTTCTTTCTCTCAGTCTGGATTTTCCCGTCCTCTATTCACTTTCCGTCGCCCTTCCTATGGTGGTACTGAAGTGTAGGACAACAATTTTACAGTATGCTTTATCATTTCTGATAAATTTCTCCAGTTGGTAGTAAAACGCATCTACAATTAATGGTAGTGATCTTTTTATGACGCGTTGGTTGAAGACGGAGAACGACCATGCAACTGAAAGTATCTCGTAGGAATCTTGTAAGGTGGATAATGAATGGGTGAACGACAAACCCTGTCTCACCGACATTTCATGACGGGATGTTTTCTCGGCAAATAATAAGGGTCCCGTTGTGAAGTTGGCGGATGTCGGTCTTTTTGCTTTTTGTTTCTTTCAGCGTGACCACATGGATTTTGATGCGATCAGTGGCCTCAAGAGAGGCGTGAAAATCGGCGTCTGTGGAGAGTGTTCTGGTACTATACATGCATAGTGAGAAACAATCTCCATGGCGTGTCGTGCGTGTGCTCGTCGGATCCGGTTCCACTGATGTCCTGCGTAACTCGAGATTTTGTGGCCTGTCATCGGTCGACTCACCGCCTGACGGCATAGACGGGAGCACTCAGTGTCCGGAGTACTGAGGCTAGCCCATTATTAGTTCAGCAGTCTGATCCTCCATGGAATACTGAGGTAACCCTGCAAAGAACGCATATCGAGGTCTTCACTACGATGTGGATCGGACGGAAGTATCTTTTCGGCAACAATTCCTTCTCTCGCCCTTCCTACTAGTTGATTCGGAGACGATGTTAAAACCGAAACCAGAAACGAAAGTAGGAATGGGAAAAGTAACCGACTGCTCAAGGACGATGTAGAAGCTGAATTCCAACATACGTTACAGCATACGATAATGCTCCTTAGTTTTCTTCCTAAATTGTCCCTAAATTTCTGGGATTTATGAATTTCCTTAAAAATTCGTAGAAATACCCCGAAAGCTACACCTACAGCAACTGTGTTGTTCCTAAATAAATCGCTTGTATTTTGCCACAGCGCGTGCTTTAAACGTTTTGAACGTATAAATCTCACTTTGGATTTTCTTTAAACTTGGGTTTGAGATAAATTTAAAATCGAAGTAACGTTTTGTAATATCTGCAACATTGTATACCCTTCAATCGATAGTTTTAAGCTTGCCAGCTTCGTTGCGAATTTGTTAAGGAGCGCAGCTCTTTCTTATTTTTTGATCTATCTGCAGAGAAAATATTATTTTCCAAGAACATTTCAAAACAGAGTTTTTCAGAATATTGGATACGTTGTGACCGGTTTAATGGAATGTGTAGGAGCATCTAGAAAGGTAATTTTCATAAGAATGGTATTATCGGTTTCATTCGCAGCTTGCTTTGTGAAGCTTGACTTTACAGGTTTTTGAATACATGAATCGCAACCCTCTAATACCGAATGACGGCACCATGGAACCAAAGTTGGGTGGTCGAATAGAATTCACTGATGTGTACTTCACCTATCCATCGAGGCCTAATAATCCCGTTCTGAAGGTTGGTATGATTGTCGTTAAAAATTGTGATTTGCTTATTATGATTCTGAAGTGAGTCTTCGTCGAACTTAAAATGTTCCAGGGGTTAAACCTCGTAATAGAAGCTGGGCAAACCACTGCGCTAGTTGGACCGAGCGGAGGAGGCAAATCCTCAATTGTATCACTGATTCAACACTTTTATGAACCAAACAGTGGAACAGTTACCATAGATGGTGTCAACATTAGAGATATTTCTCACACCTTCTATCATCAAAAGGTCATTTTTTTCTAATGGCAACCCCATATATCATCCCCACTAGTATAAGGCACCGTATTAGCGAATTTCTTTATTGTCTTCACCAAAGAGCCAATAAGTAGAACTTCTGTATAATTGTTTGTTACAGATCTCTTTAGTAGCACAGGAACCAGTGCTCTACAACGGCTCTGTTCGATATAATATTCTTTATGGGTGTGATTGGGCAACGGAAGAGGATATGCTTCGTGCTTCCAAAACGGCGAATGTTCATGATTTCATAATGGAACTGGAACAAGGTTATGATACGAATTGTGGCGAGAAAGGAGTCCAGATGTCAGGTAAGACGTAATCATTTGGTGGAGTAACAGATCATCTTTTGCTAGGTGGGTTTTAGGTGGGCAGAAACAGCGTATAGCGATTGCACGTGCGTTGGTACGGAATCCTGTTGTATTAATCCTTGATGAAGCGACATCAGCACTAGATGCTGAGTCCGAGGCACTTGTACAAGAAGCGTTAAACAGGTGTTATAATCTTACAACTTCTCGAAAAGTCTAGTAGCGTAGCGACCACAGTTTTTTTTACCCATATTTCATTTACACTTGCGTTAGATGTGCCCGAGAGCGCACCGTACTCATAATTGCCCATCGTCTTTCAACAATTGAGAAGGCTGATCAAATTGCAGTCATTCATAAAGGATTGCTGGTGCAGGTAAATTGTGTTCTCATACATTCATTGATGTTATTTGGAGAAACATTTTCTTGGAATAATTCTTTTCAAAGAAGGTTCCACGGTTTCGTTCCTATTTAAAGGATCTGTTTATTAGTTTTGAGCATGCTACGTATCGAATGTGATTACTTTTGCAATTATGATTAAAGAGAATGAAAAGTTACCAATCCCAGTTGCGTGCAACAAATTGCAAATATGCTTTGATTTCAAAACCGATTTTCCTTTAACCTCGATATTACTATTCAACATGTGTTCTTTCTTTGATAAGTTTACACGAGGTTGAAAAACAATTCTTATTCGGCTAACGTTTCGACGTTTTTGTCTTCATCAGACCTGACGATCCGAGTCAATAGTCCACCGTTCTTCGTCTCGAATGGTGTTCGTTGTTACATCGAGTCGAATCTAATGAAGTGAAGCACCGTCCGAGTGATTAATATAACTCGACGGTATCCTTTTATACAGGGTGGAAGTTGAGCTCTTGCCGACATCCAATATAACCTGCAGTTTTGGCGGCAATAGGTCCTACAGAAGTAGTCGGTATACTAGCTGGAAAATAATGTAGTAATACCTCTCCGAAAACCGACTTCTGTTTAACATCGTCATGAATAATCAATCCCTTGTGAGATTTTTGGCCCGAATCAATCCGGTTTTGAAGGAGACGAAGACGTGGAAACGTTAGCCTAACAAATATTTTACACTAGTATTGTATCGGCTCAACAATCCAAGAAGGTATTGATCATTCATGGCGAACTTAAATAAAAGTCGGTTTTCAGAGTGTAGTTTTTACGGTCTTTATTAGTGAAACGTCATTTTCTTTTAGAAAGGGAATCATGCAGAGCTGATGATGGACCAAAGTGGATTGTACTATTCTCTGATCTCAAAGCAAATGCTTGCAATAAAAATTAAAGAGCAAACTGTGGAAAGCCATATTTGATCACCACCGTAAAAAATCGTTTTGTGTAGTCCTTAGTGATATTGATACTTATGGAATTCATAGAGTGATTTTGAGAGGTTATATCATATATCCAATTTTCGTAGTACCTGCAGGTACTAACTGTTTTCAGTATTTTCTAGTTAGACTAGTCATCACTTTACTGGCTGCAGTTCTCATAGTTGCTCTCGGGTTTCTGCTGATTTTTTTCGTACTCTTCTTTATCCATTTAATATTGTTTTTGGTGCAGTGTTTACTACTTTGACTTCGTTTCTGGATATTTTTTTCTTTAGGTTCGTTAAATATAGGCGAAGTTCCTCTATTTGTAAAATTTCTCCCTGATCTGTAAAGTTCGTGAAGGGGTCAATTCAGTCCAAGTTTGCCTAAAAAGCTAAGCTAAAATTTTAAGCGTAATCACATGCATATTACTATACATCTTCTTATTGTTTTCGACCAGCCTGGCTACTGCATAATATATATTTATTGGCATGACAATAAATAATTCAGTTGTTTACTTTTGAATGTGTGGGTCAATGTATGGATTTTTTACAGTGTTGCAGGCTTTGAGACATACGTGCATATATACTTGTATTGTTAAGTAGCCTATCAGCACCAGTAAGAAAGAGTCGTACCGGCATGAGTAGTTTCTTGTGATGGCTAGTTTTCCGATTAGGAGAGATTTACTTCCCTGGAGTATCGAAAGCTATGCTTTGCCATCTGTGTCGTTACTACGTACGTGCCAGTGAGTGAGTAAATCGTTACAATGGTTGTAGTAATTCATTGCACTCGTTTACTCCAAGCAAAATTTCCCTATGGAAATGTGGATCTGCTCAGCGTCGGATTAAGACCCTGCTTAGAGGTGGAATCGCTCTGCAACCCAGTTCGACATTGAGGAATACTCCTGCAGCTCAGCCACGATGAGGTAAAGCATAAAAACGCAAAGGATTGGAAGTTGATCAATTGAAGACATATATACTTGATACTCGAATGGCCCGTCCTCATTGGTTGTGCAGGCCTCAGCAAAATCCCAATGTTTTCGGAGATTTGCTAGTTTAGCTATTGTGGTTCCCTGGTATCCCGAGGTTAGCCTGACCAAAATCTGCCCAGCTCTTCACCGCCACAGGAAGTCACAGCCCACGTGGATCAGAGGGAGATTTCCCACCATGAGACTAATTCGATGCCAGGACGGTGGTGGATCCTGGTATTGGTTTACTCTTAGCTAAGCTTCCTGATGGAAACGCCAGACTCCTCAGCCTGGTAAACCCTGCCAAGGGAATGAATCCCCCGATGTACATCACAGCTCGACACCCAGGAACACCCAGAAATATATATATATATTCATATATATGTACATATACATATACGGGTGTATATATATATATATATATATATATATA